CTGGTAGTAGATGGGAAAACCTGGAAAAGTGGTTTTTCTGGGGAAACCTGGACAAAACCATAAAACTGCCCCTTTCTCTCACATTAAATCTGTCAGGTGCTTCATCTTCATCCGTTCTACATACACACACATCCTGCCTTCACGCACATCCCACCGTTTCATTCCGGATCTACGCTGAGGAGCAAAGTCAACAGGATTGCAACAAAAGCCTTAAACGTGGAAGCCAAAACAGTCCTATTCCGTATGAAATTCTTGTGCTTCTGAAAGAACAGCTCCAAAAGGTCTCAGCCATTAACACAAAAATTCAAGGTGGTGATGTGAAGAAAGAAAGGGAGGGCAGGAGGGAAAAAGGCAATAATAAAGAGGGGGGGAAAAAGGCAATAATAAAGAGGGGGGGAAAAAGGCAATAATAAAGAGGGGGGGAAAAAGGCAATAATAAAGAGGGGGGGAAAAAGGCAATAATAAAGAGGGGGGGAAAAAGGCAATAATAAAGAGGGGGGGAAAAAGGCAATAATAAAGAGGGGGGGAAAAAGGCAATAATAAAGAGGGGGGGAAAAAGGCAATAATAAAGAGGGGGGGAAAAAGGCAATAATAAAGAGGGGGGGAAAAAGGCAATAATAAAGAGGGGGGGAAAAAGGCAATAATAAAGAGGGGGGGAAAAAGGCAATAATAAAGAGGGGGGGAAAAAGGCAATAATAAAGAGGGGGGGAAAAAGGCAATAATAAAGAGGGGGGGAAAAAGGCAATAATAAAGAGGGGGGGAAAAAGGCAATAATAAAGAGGGGGGGAAAAAGGCAAAAATAAAAACAAAACCCGGTCACAAAACCAAACCCACCAGCAATTCATGAGAACCTTAGAAAAAAAAGGTTATTGGAGAATATAGTTTTTCCACTCTAAATTCCTTTATTTCAGTGCCATTGTTAGGGAAATAACTCCCAAGTGACGACGAAAGATGACAAGGTTTTTCACCCAGCAACTCAGGAATTATGTTGTTCCTGTGGTTTCTTAATTAGCAGGCAATATTTGAATGTATTTTAAGTACCAAGTGCAACATCACCACCACATGACTATTTTGAAGGAGTCTGGGTCTTGCCAAAAAGTCCAGAAACCATGAGCCACCCTGAAATTCATTTATTTTTCAAAAGAGCACTGAAAAATCATTTTAAATGTGTTAATTCAGACACCGTAAAAGCAGATTAATGTAATCAAAAGCTAAAGTTTAAGTAGTTTTTCGTATGAAGATCCGGATTAGTGGATGATTCACTAGGAATGTGCAGGTAGTGAATAATTTGCTTATAAAAGTAGAACAGGAGGATGTGTAGATGTATCCACATAAACATATAACCCCCCTCAAACTGTATATTCCAAAAACAAGCAAAAAAAAAGTCTCAACTGCTTCTCATTATGACATCAACGTTATTATTAATGTTTTTCCTCTAGTGAAATGCAAACGTTTGAGGGGTCTCATTTCCATTTCTCCCACTGGTTTTACCACACCACACAGGAGTTGCATCCAACGTACAACTACGTGCAGAAGCCATCTAGTGCAAGGTGGACACGGTAGCTTGGAAGCGAAGCATTTTAGGATCTGAAATTGGAAAAACCTCGACGTGATCTGGACAGCTTCTCCAATGAAGCATTACAAATCGTGTAATTCTTTGCTGGTAAGAGTATTGCCATTCCTGCAGTTTTAAAAGACCAGTTCAGCAACTGGAGTAAACTACAGAGACCCGAAATGATGCATCCACCGATTTCAACACTTCCCATTCGCTGTTTTAACTATCACACATTCACTAATTGGAATCCTAGCTCAGCTCGAGACTAATTTCAGCCTCTTCTGGTTTTTTAGGTTGTTTTTACTACTCAAATGCAGATCTACATCAGGACAAGTACTACAAACTTGCTACTTCGCTGCAGGTCCATCAGTATGGTTTTTATTCCGATACTACTCAACTAGGTCAATACTGCAGCCCTTTCTGCCAACAGTTGGTCTTACCAACCTTTTCATCAAAGCAACCTGTACTTTTTGTTACTAAAACTGTACACTGAGATACTGGAAAGCGAGGGAAGTTTCCACTAACTTAGCAAATACACAGCCTTATTATTTAGGCTAATACATTAAAAAAAAAAGCTGATTAGTATATCACAATATACTGATAGATTGGCTGGTTTTAACCCACGGGTTTTCAACACTACACATGTTTAAAGGGGTAGAAATTAAGGAACTGCAACAACTCCTTTCAGTCACTAAATACTGGAATGTTTTTGCCTCCTCAACAGGAAGAAATGATCCCTGGTCAGCTGTGTAAGAAATGGGACAAGATATTTCTTAAGTCACACGCACTCCGAGAGAAGCACACACATCTATATGTCAGCCAGTGAAAATATACTCCATTCTTTCATAATACAAGTCGATGAAACAAAGATACTTCTGATGTATTGAAAGCTCATATAAACAGCAGTCAAGAAAAAAAAAACTAATCCAAGAGGTGGCAGATGTGTATTTCTTTGCATATGACATCAAAAGATGTCCTAAAACTACCTAGAAGTTTCAGATTACCCAAACCATGCAGTTTTCCTGTCAGATTGCATGGGTTTGATTACAGAATCATGGAATGGTTTGGGTTGGAAGGGACCTCAAAGGTCATCCAGTTCCAAACCCCCTGCCATGGGCAGGGACACTCTCCACTACACCAGGTAGCCCAAAGCCCCATCCAACCTGGCCTGGAACACTTCCAGGGATGGGGCAGCCACAGCTTCTCTGGGCAACCTGTCCCAGTGCCTCACCACCCTCAGAGGGAAGAATTTCTTCCTTAGATCTAATCTAATCTATTTTATCAGAGATTTAGATTCCATGCAACTTCAAAAGGCCAACAGTGAGGGAACCAAGGGTCAGGGTACCCACAAAAACATTGTACTAGAAGCTAGAGGTGACCTGTTAGCTACTCTCTGGCAGCCACCCAATGGTTCATTCCTGTCCGTTATAGCTATGGAAAAACAGGTAGTTTTTGGAAATACATATCAAAAGTTAGGCTGAGCATTCCTACATCTCCCATGACAAATATACCCAGGCTACGCACAGAGCAGCGACAGGGTATCGTCAGATTCCAGTCTCTTAGGATAACGTGTCTGAATTCCATACAAAGTGAAACTGAACCATGAGAGGGGACATCTGAGAAACCAAGAAAGAAAATATTGCTATAACTTTATAGCCAGACCACTGTTGACACAAAATGTTAAAGTTTCTGCTCAACATCTTTAACAGTCAAAGCCTCCGTATCACCAACTCTTAACCGAGAAGCGAGACACAACACATTACATCAGAGGTTATGTAGTGGGTTCTCCTTTTTACAATTAAACACCACAGTTGACCAAAAAAGCCTTGAAAAAAGGCTTCTAAGTTGTTTTTGGAAGAATCTTCCCTTTAACTTCGATTCTAATCTCAGTGACGTTAAAGGCTGTAGGTTACACATCAAACAGCTCAAGGCATGAACGGACCCTAACAGGAAAAAAGCTGATGGAAAACTCCAGTCCCAGTTACCTACCTGTCCTTGCTGCTATGAGATGTGTTGCTTTGTCAGGATCATCAGCACTCAGTACCAGATTCTTCACGATTTTAGCTCCAAGTGCTGTGGCGTGATAGTGTTCCCGTGTTTTCTCAATGGGGAAGTTGGTTGGGTAGAGTCCGCTAAATATTATGGTTACATCTGCCAACACTTTACTTTTCAGTTCTGGTACTATTTTTCTGATGTCTGGAATTTCCTCAATCTCTTTTTTCAGGTATTTATCATACTTTGTGTAATAATCAGTGTGAACCCGCACAAGGATCTCTTCGAGGTATATTAAGTGGTCGTCATCATCCGTATCATCCTCCTCCTCTTCCTCCTCCATACTCTGGTCTAAGGACTCACCCATTGTAATTCCAGACTGTTCACTATTCTGAGACTCTGTTTCAGCTTCTTTCTTGTCTGCACATCCATTTCCTAAATCACAAAGGCTTTCCTGTTCACTCTCTTCTTGTGCTTCAAGATCGGTTTTGTCATGAATATTTTCATTAGGTAGAGATTGCGCGTCCCCAGAATGGTTCACCAGACCATCCTTTTTCTCACTTGCGTCAGTGCAACTCCCTTGCTGCAAATTTTCATCCTGCAGAGGCTGTTTGGATTTCTTCCAGCTTCTCTTTTCCTCATTCTCACTATCTGATACAGAAGTGGATGACTTTCTGGTCTCCACTCCGCCATCACTTTCACTGTCACTAGACAGTTCAAAGTCCAAGTCATTTGTTGTCTTGCCTTGGGTTTGCTGCTTCTCTACCACTGTTCTATCAACTTGTTCTGAAAAAACTGGAGATTCTTTTGTCTTTGTCAAATCATTAGTGACTTCACCGTCCGCTTTGTGACCAGTGCTATCATTTAAGGAGTCCTGGGTCTTAACTTTATCGCGAGAGTTCATGTCCCAGTCAGACATGTCACTGCTTACAGAAGAACTTCCATTCGCAGTGCAAGTGTCCTTTGAAGCCTTCTTGAGTCCGTTGCTTTGCTCTTCTGCACATGTAACATTCTTTATTTCTTCAACATCTTTTGCTGATGTCACTGCTGAATCCAGTGCCTCTGGTTTTGTAGAGTGGTTTACTAAAACACAGGAAAGAAAGAAATAAAACACACACATATTTTCTAAGGTGTTCTGTTTTTGTTTTTCCCAAAGCTTGATGAAAATTTAATTTTCTTTTTCCTTAAACACAGTTTAAACATGCAGTTAGACTTCATTATGTTTAGATGTGACAACTAGGTTTTTCAAAGTTGTTAAGATACTTTAGGTGTCAACAATTACTAGAAAGAACTGGCAAACCTAACAAACTTTACCTTTGTAAAGCTGTGTACGTAGCTTCTTTTTTTTAAAAAAAAAACCAAACACATAGGTCAGAAGTAATTATTAGTTAACTAAACAAACATTATAAAGGATTTGACTTGTAGCGTGAGTTTTCCAATTACAACTCAGGGCAACGAAACCACTGTAGAGTAGAAAAAAAAAACACAAACAGGGCAGAATTCACTTCAAAAGGTCCCAATCCAGAAGAAGATTACAACTACAAGAACTTGCTCTACAAGCTCCCATGGCTTTCACATATTTCCTATTTTTCCTAACTAAAATAACCACTTTTTAATAGTTGAAAAGATATACACGTTTTAGCAATATAAAGATGCTGTTTGAGGTTCATTTGAGACTCTGCTGGAATGCAAGCAAAGGGTAATAGACTCAAAGGCAGAAAAATAGTTTTAGGATGTATCTTCAGATGTCTGCAGAAGACAGAGACAATTAAAGGAACTGTAGACTTCCAGAAATTTGCACACGGAAGTCCATCAGGAACACTGGATGAAGTCACCCTACTTCATCTCTTTTTCGTGTGCGTGTCCCTGCCCTGCAAGTAACACCACCAGTCAAGCACAGAGGTCCCGTGTCATGGTGGCCTGCTCCAGTTTGAGTACATTATTGTTTCCATATTGGACATCTCTAATCCAACAAGGGAAAACGAGTGATGACATATATATTAAATTTAAAAAAATCCCTTGGCTAAACCAGCAAAAACCTGCAATTCTTTCTTAGCCATTGTGTTCCACATACGTTTTGCCCCTAAATTAATACTAACACAGTGATGTATACCTTCTAAATCCATTATCTGTGTTATGCTGCCAAGCCTGCTGAATATAAGTTTCTCCTTCAAATGCTAGAATGTCACATTCAGTAGACACTAAAAATCCCACACTAATTTTATTAGCGTGGTTTAGGCAAGGAGGTAAGCAGAGATCAAAACATTCATTTTCAGCAGTATGTTGAGACCAGACTTCATTAACTATTGGTCCAAAGTGGAGCAGGGAAAGGGATCGAAAAGGAAAAAGAAGAGGAAGTTGGTTCCCTGACCACCTACGGAGAAGAAAAAACTGCCTTGTTTTACATGGTGGGGGGGGAAAAAGAGTGAAACTGTCCTCTTCTACATGTCCTTGAACAATTTGGTATATTGCCACATCAGCTCTCCAGCCATAACAGCCAAAATGCTACTACCAGTAGCCACTTTTGCTATGGCCATTCACCGAAAGGAAAGCTATCAACAGCCCAGTTTTACCAAGCTACTTGTAGTTGACAGTGCTCCTGCAGCACAAATGCAACAGACTGGGATTGCTCATCTGAGCACAACAGCAATACCAGTAAGACCACCACAGTGACTTAATTACATCAATCGCATCCAAAAAGTGGAAAAAGTTGTAAAAGCGTTTTAAAAACCTCTGTAATTACCTTTCTTCTTCATCTGAATTTCTCTTGATCCAGGAGGTGCATTAATATCTCCTATCCCCTGGAAGTACACATATTTCTTCACAGTTATCAAATTGGGTGCGAACTTCCAAACATCCTCTCTATCATCAATGATGCAAACCATGGAATCCCCACATGGGAAGAGATCTCTAAGAGACAAAACAGTTGATAAAATGAATTCTGTTTAAGAAATTAATACTACCAACGAAAGTAGTTTCTGTTGATGTTCTGGTTTATTACAAGCATGTCTGCAGGACATGCTTCAGTTATCAAATTGGGTGCGAACTTCCAAACATCCTCTCTATCATCAATGATGCAAACCATGGAATCCCCACATGGGAAGAGATCTCTAAGAGACAAAACAGTTGATAAAATGAATTCTGTTTAAGAAATTAATACTACCAACGAAAGTAGTTTCTGTTGATGTTCTGGTTTATTACAAGCATGTCTGCAGGACATGCTTATTTATGAGCCATTTGGACATCTCTAATTCAACAAGGGAAAACGAGTGATGACGTATATATTAAATTAAAAAGAAAACCTTGGCTAAACTGGCCAAAACCTGCAATTCTTTCTTAGCCATTGTGCTGCAAATACATTTTGCTCCCAAATTAATACTAACCAGTGATGCAT